TTTTGGTATTTTATTTGATTCCAATTTGAGATTTTTACCAGTGTATGTTGTTATTCTTTCTATATTTTGTACTTATATTGAAGTTTTTGTGTTTGCTTTTGAACTGTACATATATTGTTTAAATTTGATATAATATGGCTACCGCCACATTTTTGGATAGACGCGGTGGCTGCTGGACTTAGTGTCACTTACTAGCTATTGTACTGGATACTCTACGGAGTAATTTAGTCCTGGAAGAAACAAAAATACCGTAAGACTCTGTATTTCCATTTTATATTAATAAGAGACGTTTTCTCCTAGAAATTTTGCCCTTTTGATTTGGCTGGGACCTGGATCTAGGAGTAACGTACAGGAGTGTTTCTATTGGAAGCAATTAGGACAGCCACTGGCGAAATAAAACTACAGAAATAAAGAGGAAATCATTCTTATTTAGGATATATTGTTTGAGGATTAATATCTACGAAAATGACGTAACCAGGAATGCCTTTCTTTTGATCCTTACTGAAGCCAAAACTTCTAAGAAACTAGTTAGTTTTTGAAAACGTTAGGACCCTATGATTTTTTTTCATAGAAAAAAACTTGGTGACATTTACTCAGGTATACGTTCATATAAGAATCCTATGCGATAATAATTTTTTCAACCCAAACTATTCAGGGAACGTAAAACTGTAAAATCACCATAAACAGCTTGTAAAAGCTACTGAAAGACCGAGTATAGCTAGACTAGTGGATTCAGTCCTATTATTTTCTTTCACTTATTAAGACTTTAAATGGCTGTTAATACGGCCAGTTTGTTAAATGACAGGAGTTAGTTCTGAAACGTCACTGCATCTGATCAACCAGTATTAATTTAGATATAATCGCTGGGTGAAATATGGATGCACTTGTTAGATGACAAAAAGGTGAGGAATCGCCAGGCACTTAAACAGTGAAACGGGCAACCAAGGCCACCATTACCCAAACCAACATACCTGCAAAACTGCCGGTTGTTTTAAACCCACCAATATCTATTAACAATAAGGAACAGTGGGTAAATGTGAAAAAAGGGAACGGCAACACCACAACTAACAAAAATGCTGCCATTCAGTGACAGATGCCTTAGACTAAATTTTAATGCTTCACTGTCAGAGGGTAGCTTACTAGAAGTTAGGGCTGCCTTTAATGAAGAACATTAGGACAGTTACAACCCAAGAGACAACACAACATCCAACTAAATGAGGTGACAGAATCATATTGGTGCTGTTCCAACGCAAGCGGCATAAAATAATTGATTAGAGGGATTTACCGGCCCCCTCAGGTACTAAAGCTCAGTAAGATAAAATGACTGAGGTAATAATGCAACTGCCACTCCTCGGGTTTGATCGAAGACTCTTAGCAGGAGATTCAAACACCTCATCTTTACATGTCAGCAAATAGGGCACAACTCCCACTGGTTTGTTCCGAAGACGACTTGGAGCAGCCATTAGACGCTTCGGGCTTACTGAGCATGTATGCAGTGTCATTAGATGGACCGAGGAGGGAAAAATCCACAAAACCTGGGATATTTGTTAACAAACGGTCAGCTCCTGGTCGAGGATGTCCACGTCTACACAACAGTAGGAGGTAGTGACCATGGCAGAATCGTCTTCAATATGGTCATAAAAGAAGCACTTACGCAGGACAAAAATGAGCCCCATCTTTGCTACACTGGGTCGAATAACACGCGCATGGGAGAGAAACTTCTACATGACTCATGGCCACACACATGGCGGAGGCTGTGAGTAGATGATGACTGGCAAACAGTGGGAGACATCGTCCACAATGATGTCCTGGATAACGTACCTCAGTCACACCACAAACCTGGAGATAGGAGAACATGGGTTAGACAAGCTGAACGCTTGCTGAAGGCGGAAAGGAGAGTCTGGTTCAAGTTGAAGGTCTCTTTGAAGGATTCCGATAGTATTTCTTTCGTGGCATGGAGAAGCAGTTGCAGTGCCAAAGTTCAAAGTCATAGGAAACGCTTTCAGACTAAGCTAGCTGTCCAAATACAGACGAATCCTCAGCATCTGTTTAGTTAGGTTCATTACTAAAGAAAACCTACGAATCAGGGTTTGTGTTCCCCCAAGGTTTTCTATGGAGAAGATCTCACTAACCTTGGGATAGCTGAGAGCACAACTTAACCGATCAGTTAAACCAAGTATCCACATGTTTAGAATATTACTCGAACCTAATGCTAGCTGACGGATTAAAAGTGAACCGGTCGAAATGTCTCGTTATATACATTCTGATCCACGCGCCGCAAACGATATACACCCTCGACAGAAGATCGCTCCCAAATATCTCTTCAGGGTGCGATCTTGGTTTAGTAACCACTGAGGGCCTACACACCAGTTCGAAACGTATAGGGGGCACAGCCAAGTCTAATACAACCCTTCATTTTATGCGAACACAACTTGATGCTATCACCCCATAATTACTCTTAACGCTGTTTAGGACATATGCACGCCCACACATTGAGGTTCATATAGTCGTCGCACAACCTTTCTTAAATGAGACATAAACCTCTTGGATCGAGTGCAGAGACGAGCAACGAAATGGGTGATAAAGTTTAGGAATAAAACTTCCGAAGCTATACTCTAGCACTTGGGATTATTCCCCCTGAGGTACAGGAGAATCAGAGGTGATATGATTACCGCGTACGACATACTAAGCAAGCCAAACTATCCCAACATGAGCATCTTTCCGAAGCATCATCACCACCCCCCTCAAGGTCATCCTCGAAAAATTGCGCATCAAACAGCCAACACTCAGGTTCGTACAAACTTTTTCTCATTAAGAGTAGATGCATCTTGGTGGCCACAACCCCCTCAGTGAACAGCTTTAACAAGAGACTTGATAAACACTTATGGATTATCATCCCCCACTTGGACCAGTTATGCCTGATGCATTTGTTGAAACCAACTAGTTGTTATTATTGCCATCTCCTTAGATCACTTACTTTGTCTGTCTCTTTTATTATCGCTGATGCCTCTCCTTTGCTTATACTTCAGTCTTCTTTCACAATCCTTACTACCAATTAATAAACTAAATTGTCCATTAGTTACTCAGTCCTGAAATCTTCGTATTACCATTAAAATTTTCCCTTTATTATTCTCCTTACTGCAACTAACTGGTAAAGTGATAGCTGTTAGTACCCATAAACCGTACTGTACTGAAACAAACATATTGATCCGAATCACGGGACAAAAAAACAAACAACTGATAACCGACTAGAATTAATGCAGCCGACCCTCACCCACTACCAAACACCTAAAACCGTACAGGAAGAACAACAATCGAGCACAAAGAAACCAAATGGTTCATACTAGCTAGTTAAAAAGATATTGGATATTGATAGAGAGACCAATTAGATATTTCGAAGATAATGGATATTGGATTACTTCAGGGTTAAGTGAAGGCGTTTACTTGACTGTCAAGGACACATGTGGTTCAAATGAGCAGAGTTTTGCGGTTGGATGGGGATCTACTAAGAATAACTGTAAACGAGTTGTCAAGAGTTGCTGAACTAAAAGGAATACAGGTAATTGATAGTAATTATTTATTATCCCTGGATTAGTTTTCTAGATTTACCGAACTTAATCGTATACTGAAGGGTTTCCGTACACATGAAATGACAGTTTTATCAGGAAATACCGGTGTTGGTAAAACAACTTTCATGTGCGAATACTCACTTGATCTGGCTGAACAGGGAGTCCCGACACTTTGGGGTAGTTTTGAAATGCCTCTTCGGAAAGTGTGTAAAACGCTAGTTCAACAGTTTGCGGGGTAAGTTGATGATTCTTTTCCATTAAGGCTAATTTAGTGAACCACTCGATCCTCCCATACCCAGTAAAATTGCTGACTGGGCACGTATGTTTAGCGAAGAGGTTCCTATATATTTTATGAACTTGCATGGGGCTCAAAGTTTGACGGAAGTATTAAAGGTGCTTAATATAATAATAATAATAATAATAATAATAATAATTTTTTAGTGTTCTGTATGTTTATATAATTTAGTCTTTTGAATTTAATTTTAACCTGTTCCCATAGTTTAAGTTATGCATTATTGTTATGAACAACAGGAACTCAAATTCACACGACAATTTCTTGACATCTAAAGGATGGTTAGTGTACTCATCAAGTCTTGATTTTGATGGTATTTGGTAGTAATTTAAGCTCATAAAGACTGCAACTTACATAATCATTTTGGGCGATACTGTCCGCGATGTGTAGAAAAATAAACGTCTCTTACTGCATAAAATTATTTTTAGCATGTGTTTAGTTTTGCTTCCCAGGCTTTCATGTTGCGAAGATATGTTATTATTAACTTGATGTTGCTTGGTTCATGAAATGCCAAGATTTCCAACCAATAAACTGTCAAGCCAATAGGTTTTAATTTTAATGTAGTCTGTCTGTTGTAAGATTACTGAAATGGCTCAGTGTTACGATTTTTCATGTTCACTTATGTTATCGATAAACCCGCATTGGGTAGTTACATCACATCAAACTGATAAATCTACCAAAAAACTGAACTTCAGGAGTTACTCTATCTAACCACCGTAAAAAATTGCACTCTAATTTCAGTAAATTAGTTTGTGGCCAATACATTCCCGTATTTCTGGCTAACAAAAATGCTATTATGTAGGAAACTACTACGTATCACCCAATTATTTGTTTGTGGATTCGATCCTCCACTGGCGTACTATGGGTTTGAAGTCCGTTTATCGTCCACATTTTCGAGACTAATAATGACTGAAATCCAGTTTGTCTCATTTGTTATATTATTAGTTCATTGTTTTTTAAATGTTGTCCTTGCTAATGTAGTTTCTTTATTATGTCAAGTTATTCGGCATACTATCAATATCTTCACAGTCCTTATTAACGTGTACTTTGACGACAAACATTAGTTTAAGGTAAAGATCACAGGCTGCCAATATTGGCTTAAAATTTTGGAATCGTATCTGATTTGTTTACTCAAATAACTTGAATTGAACTTTCAAACATCCCCGTTTATTTTTATCCAGCAACTAATTATTCTTTCTATCCTTAGCAGCACATGTAATTGACAATCCAATACACTATCCTACTTGATTGAATATAGGGTTGTTAAACCAGTCTCTACAATCAATCAATCAATCAACAGCAACGAACTTCGTACGTATGTACATCATTTCATGTTGCCATACCACATTAGCACACAGATGTGATTGTCAATTCAAACCCAATAGTAGTAGAGGTAGTAAAGGTATTAGCAGTAGTCGGATAGGTTAGGATTAGAAGATATTAGTCAAGAAGTAGAATCTAGTGAAATAGACTTAAAAAGATAAAGTGATGAGGAATTAAAAAGTTTGGGATTTGATAGAACACAAAAAATGAATGCACCTGTGCCATTGCAAACGGTTTTGAGCCATGTCGTTCAAGGTCTTTAACCATCAGTCACTATCGTCTCGCGCACCCCAACCAGGTAGTCCACACCTACCGACAAGACTCTGTCCACTTGTCGGTGACATTTCATGGATTTGTGCCATGTTTTGGTCTGGCCGCCCCTAGCTTTCATCCATCCTATACCTACATCGCAAAACATAGCCCGACGAGGCAGTCGGTGGTTAGACATACGCAACAAACCACTCTCTTCAGCTATTGACCATTAGTATAAGCCGAGTGGATTACATGATGTAACATAACAGGGGTGTTGTTTACCAAATTGAGGAGACTGAAAGCGAATGCCAGCGTTTCGACTAGTTTAGTGGGTACGGTGGACCCATCAATTGGAGCTGGGAAAGTTTGATTCCAAACCAGTGGTACATATGAGCTCCAATATCTTTAGAAAAAAAGGAACTTACAAACCTATTGTTGGTCACCGGCTAACTAAACTGGTAAAACGTATTGGGCCTCAAGATCTGAGTATTCATTTTCCAAGTATTCCATTCACATTATAATCTGTGGATTTCTGTGGATAGCAGTTTCGGACTGCTTTTTTTTTAACTGAAACAATGGAACTTCAAGAGTGTTTACTGAAATATCACACATAATTTGCAACTTCATGCAACGTTCATTACGACAACAATATCGTCCCATAGTACACATTAAAACTAATTAATCTAGCTATGCACGTTTTAATTATCCTACCAGAAAGTAGTCGAATGTAAGGTTATTTCGCCTATGAGATTATAAGTGATGCTTATTTCACCGGATTATACTTCTTGAATAATATCATCAAACCCTAAAATTTCCGATTACTGCTAATACTTTTACTACCTCTACCATTATGGGATTTGAACTGACAGTTGCATCTCTGTGCTAATGTGTTATGGCAACTTGAATTGATGTACATACGTACGAAGTTCTACTTTGTTGCTGACTGACTATTTTGGATATGTTATATATACCTAACTACCTCCTACCTCTAATTGTGATGATTTTTGATGTGAGAGCAGGTGCATCCACTCTCTGTCTTCTCTTAGATCCTTAGTTCCTTAATTATCCTGAAATTTCTGGAACTTTTTATCTCAATTGTCCGTATTATATTCTTGAATTATAAGATCTATACCTAATTTCAATACTTATTCTATTCTGAAATCCCACTGTGTCGGTGTGGTGTCTTAATTTTAACCGATGGACATATTTGCTATATGTTGTGTACTATTGGCTAACTGGTGCTGTTCGTCTATTTCATTCTCATTTTGACTTGAGATATATGTTTCGAACTTTTATCTCACTTTCACACCATTTTCTTCATATGAATACATTATGAATAATCAGTAGTATATACTGGTTTTTTGATTTGATATTTTCCTCTTATTGAATAAGATATCTTTTACTGAAGGCAGAAATTCATTTATAGTAGTTATACCGTATATTTGACTGCTTCAGAAATGAATGTAACTGTTTTATTATTTTTCATGCGTACTTGTTTTATCAATGAGTAGCATAAATACGTGCCTAGAAATATCAGACAGGATCAAAATAATGGAATTAGTAAACTGAATAGATGAAATTAGAGGAAGGAATGTAAATAATTGATTACATTACATGAAAATAAAATGTAATAAAATTGAGAGTTACTCAGGCCTTTAAGAATGTCTTGTGAAAATGCAATTATTTCTTGGTTAAGAAAGTAACATACTACTTCAAGTAGGTTAATGATACATTTGTTTTTGGATACATTGAATAAAATCCAAAAACTCATTTCAAAACCAAGTTTTTTTATGAATTCAAGACAGTAATGTGTTGAGCTTCTCAGATTATAGATGGAAATGAAACAGTGGTGTTATTGGTTTGCTGACTAAAGGACGAGTGTACTGCACAGTAGTTTGCTCCGTCCTACTTTATGGCTCTAAAACATGACCAGTCAGAGTAGAAGATACTCGTAGGTTTCTGGTTTTCGAACATAGGTTTCTCCGAAGCATTGCTCGTGTATCATGGGACAACCGAGTAAGCAATTCTCTTATTAAGAAACGGGTGCTAGGTAAGGATGGCAGGTCAATAGATGAAGTAATGAAACTTCATCAGTTGAGGTGGTCAGGATATGTGTTGCGTATGCTTAACCACCGACTGCCTCGTTGACATATGTTTTGCGATGTAGGAACAGGTTGGAAGAAATCTAGGGGCGGCCAAACCAAAACATGACAGAAATCCATGAACTCACTGACACATGGACTGAGTCGTGTCGGTAGGTGTCAACTACGTGGTTGGAGTCCACGAGATGATAGTAACCTTATGAAATCCCCATTTCAGTAGATTCTACTTCTTGAATAGTATCTTTAACCCTACACTCTTCGATGATTACTAATACTTTTAATACCTCTACTACTATGGAATTCGAATTGACAATCACATGTGTGTGTTAATGTTGTATGGCAACTTGAAGTGATGTACATAGCTACAAAGTTCTACGTTGCGGTTGATTGATCGATTGAATATGCACAATAAAAATACAAACACTGGACAGTAGCTTAGACATAAAGTCGGTCTATATTAAACCAGTAAGTTTGAATGTGAAATATTGAAAATGAAACATAATGTACGTGAAAGTGTGATCCTCTGAAAATGAATATCATTAGATACAAATCACTCTAATGTATAAAAATTCGGTTGACAAAAACTTATGATATCAGTTAATTATACGAAAGAATTTCTGCATAAACTTAAAAAAGGAGTTTTGAGTAATCGCTTAAATCTGATATCGTATTGTTAGTAAGTCACTGTTGAGTGCTTGCGTTTTATCGGTACCATATTATTGCCTTCAATAATTACTGTCTTTTATTCTTACGTTGAAAAATATTGGTTAAATTCCACTGTAATCACGATTCGATCGAAGCTAGACACTTATCGAAAGCACGGAAGCACTGGAGGGCTGTCACCGGTGAAGCTAAACCATGTTAGCTATATGGAGAGGGTACTCATCCAAGACAATGGAAAATGCTCGACCGATATCGTGAATTAATTGAAGCTATACTCGTACAATATTAGATCCTAGTTCAGTAGTCTAGAGGTTAAGCGTTTGAGCGCAAAACCGAATGTCCTGAGTTCGGTTCTGATTTGTTGGATTGTTGGTGTGCACTGATAATGAGTCTCATATTAGTGCTTTTTAGGTTTTCAATGGTTGTCTAACTTCGACCGATTCATGATTTCAATGTAACTTAACTATCATTTTAAGACGGAAAAATAAAAGACAATCATTACTCAGTCGAATCAAGCCTATATTGCATAGATATAGAGTACTATTTAAGAAAGACCATTTATTAATAGAATTTTCAAACTAAGTGTAGTAGTCTGTTTGAAAATTGATAATCTATGTTCATTCTTTTTCTTAATTTCCTCAAACTGAGGATCTAATGTTTCAGTTTATCCCAGTCTATTAGTATCCACTGGTGACAAATCCTGTAAGCCACCTAGATGAACAAATATATTCTTTTTAGTGCTAACGAAATTCTATCGATTAAGCTGGAATGTGATCGAGTAGATCAAATAACCTTTTACTAAATTCTCTGTTTACAACCCCGTGACTGTGGCCAAAATCCTATGACAGTCATTAGTTCTCTGAAAAATAAATGCATGCCATTTGGTTAGTTTAAGCTATTACAAGCCTAGAGCAAGGATTTCCTTTCATACATGTCAAACCATGGAATACTTAAATCAAGCATGTTTTTTTTGGCAAATGCGTAATATTATTCTTAAATAATAAACATGATCCTAACCTGGATTATTCATATATTAGCCGATAACAAGTATATAGTTCACATCAACTATTAATCAACTGTAATCGTTTATTTGATTACTTCTTTACTATTTATACATAGACAATGGAGATTGGTGTTAAAGATTTTGGCGTAGCACACATAGTTATTGATAATATACAATTTTTACTTGGAGCTGGTGATGGTGCTTTCATTGAACGTTTTCAGCGTCAAGATTACTATGTACAAAAATTACGAGCTTTTGCCACTGAAAAAGGTCCACACGTGACAATTGTTGCTCATCCTCGAAAAGTGAGTTTTTTGTGTGTGTGTTCAATAAAAATTTTACTTTTTTTAAAAACAGGAAGAAATTGGTCATCTACTTTCAATTAATAGTTTATATGGTGGCGGTAAAATTTCTCAAGAAGCAGATAATATTATGTTTTTACAAGTGGATACATCTACATCAATTCCTAAGAAATTTTTACAAGTTAGTCAGTGTTTTCATTTTAGTTTCACTAGTTATCATTTTCTCATTTGTTATTGGCATTATTTATTATTTTGATAATGTAATATTCATTTATTAAATGTATCACAGGTTTATGTAGTCGATTTTGAGCTACAGTGTTTTTTTTTATACGAGAGCTATTGATACTATTGACTGTTGAAAATGAATTAAAAGTAGCGAAATTTGGATTTGTTATTGACTGGTTGAATGATAAGTTCTAAACATGTTGGTAACGTTAGATCCCCAGAACTCACTTGGAAAAGGTCCTAATTTTGTAATTTATTTCTGAAATCTTGAATTTTTATGTTTTCGCGCCAAGAGACGGTTAGTTGACCTTCAGCTTACATTTCTCACTCGGAAATCCTTGACTGTCATTGGTTGATGAATTATTTTAGTATGTTATTTTGTGGCTCTCCTAATGGCATTTATATGATTGTATAAATAAGCTTGATTTGTGTGTTTCGCAACCTCGTATTTTCTGAGTGCTCATAGAATACACTTTCTACGCCTTATCAAGACTTCTTGCTTTAGTTAGCAGGACCGGGTACAATTGGATTAGAATAGCCTATCGTGTCACTGCATTATTTATCTTCGCTCCGTTTACCGAGTAAGGTGAACTCGTAATAGTTTCGAGCATATCAAAGCAATACCACTGTAAACAGTTTATTTTTAGTACAACTTCATTAGATCGTTTATAGTATCCATGAATAAGTATTGTTTGTATTTGTACATATTGCTCTTACTATGTCTACTCTGATAACTGAACTTTGTATGAAATTTTAGGTTCTAAAATAGACTGTTATTGTAGCCTAGATTCATTCGTAAACATTTATATTCTTTATTAAATCATAAACTGATCAATGTTAAACTATTATTGGAATCCTTGAAGCATTAAATGTTTGTGTCATTCTAGTATGAGGCCTATCAGCAGTGTGCGTCCATGACCCTGTGGTCTAACATTGACTAGATCATGATTTCGAAGAAACTTAACAGTCTACTCAATCCCATACTCACATTTATGATCTTTTGTTTATCTGAGTGGTGAGTATAAGTTATCATCAATATCTATGAAACTTGATACTTGATCCATAAACATTACTCTTCAGCACATTGAACGGTAAATGACCTGCAAATTTACCGAAATTGATATAATTCAGTAATCACTAGCTGATGAACTGATGTTTAGACTACGATTGTTTGCTAGTGCTATTTATACTACTCATTGACCAAACAGTAGATAGTCGAGTATAGCTCAAGAAACCAGAAATTATGGACCGGCCATTTGATATTCAGAGTACTAAATTTTCACCCAAACACTCGCAAGCTCTAACTTTTCTTGATCGATGTCGGATTGGAAAACGAGAAAGTATCAGTAAACCTTACACAATTTGTATCGCACAAAGCTGAGTATACAACCATGTACTTGGTATATGAATTAATATGTATCATCAGTATTTTTAAAAAAAATCTGGGTTACAAACCATCATCAGTGTCATTTATTTTGGAAGCCAGTTTATGTTTGTTTTTATACTATAAATTTGCGATAACTATCAGTATTATTCCTTTTTTTTCAAAATATTTAACAAAGTGTTACTTCAAATAAATTACAAGGAAGTTTATTAAGATAGAGAAAATTGAGTCCCATGATTCACAAACTACTATCTAACATGTAAATCTAACAAAGTATAAAAATTTTTTACTTCCCGATTATTTTTAAATATTTCGTTATGATTTTTATGGCATTAATAATTGTTTTAAATTCGTTTAACCAGAGTATCTTTTGAACACAAACCCCAGAGTTCACTTAGGATTGAAATTATTTACAGTTTTATCATTGATATCATTGTCGGTAACTCACTTACTTATCAAGTACCAGTTTTTGAATTTGGCTTTAAATCATTATGTTTGTATAAATACTGGATACGCTTCTCACAACTTTCTAAACCAAATTACATAATCAAGTAAGTTTAAAAAGTACTAACGATATGGTTGAAAATGGAATGTCTTAAATCATAAACCTTGACTATGCAACACTATCAGTAATCGTATACAATTTTTTTTCAACTAATTTTCACTGTATCAATGAACTAACAGGTATCATGTAGCTGTCGGCTTATTAAAATCTAATTGTTAATTTATAAATTCTTATTCTAATTAACTATTTTTTTGTAAGTATCGAATCGTGTTCTTCGTTTGGTTCAACCTAATGTAGTTTGCTGATTGCAATCGATTTACATTATTTTAATATAGTTAGGAACTAATACGACATCGATGGTACGCCGCCTACTGACACATAGCACTTTCAAGAACTATCGTCAAATGATCGAATTCAAGAAGAAGGCAGGATTGTAGTTGAACCTTGATATTGAACGAAGGCAAAATCCAAATATTATATCTCTGTGTATATAAAATCATAACATAACCGTGAGTCATAGGAAAATTAGAAAACTAAAAAATAATAACAGCCAATCAATGAACAACAATAGTCATGAGAAAATATGAATTAGAAAAAAAAATGTGCTCGAGGTTGTCATCACATGAAAGAAATTAACATTTACCAACAAAAGCTGAATAAATTGCAGGTCATCCTAGCAATGCGGAGCTACTTAATTTCTAATATATTAAACCCCAAAAAAAATTTATTGAGAAAATCAAGTGTAATAATAATAATTTTATTCGTAATGAATTAAGAATTTTTCTTTCTTTTTTTTTCTGCCTCAATAGTAGTTTTATCTGTAATCAATTCAATGTTGTTTTGTTGTGTGCGTTCATTGAATAATTTATAACCAACCAACCTGTTCATTTGTTCATAAATGATAATGACCTGTACTAATTAGATTGTTTTTAACAATTCATACTGAATATACATGCAAATATGGTGGCAATCGATTATATTCTTGGCTTCTTTGTATCTCTGTTTTCATTTCTGAGTCTTATTATTTAACATAAAGTTAATTGCTTAATAGAATTTGATAATTTTGTAATTTTCTTTTAAATGGATGAATGTAAGGGCAGGAGTGTAGGACTTTCCTCTTTGAAAATCCTGTTTAAATAAGAATGTACTATTTTTGTTTAAGAACATAAGTAAAAATTCTAGAGGCCTCGAAAAACTGTAAAGTGTTGAGGTGCCAGTATGAAATTCAAATCCAAGACACTAAGAATTGACAGCTGACAGCTGAATTCCTCATCACCTCTATCTTTCTCTTTCTAAATTTACATCACTGATTTATACTTCCTGAATAATATCGTCGAACCCTAAAATTTCCGATTACTGCTAAATACCTTTACTACCTCTACTACTATGGGATTTGAAGTGACAATTGCATCTGTGTACTAATGTAGTATGACAACTTGAATTGATGTACTTACTTATGAAGTTCTACTTCTCTGTTGATGTTTATGATGACAGCTGATATTTACGAATAATTTTTAAATTGGCGAACAACAATACAAGGTAGTCATCACATACTCTGTACAGTACAATTGAACGAAGTTATGACTTTTCAAGAAATCACAGTGACATTATGTTATCATACTCAAAATACTGGAATTCAAGTGATTTTTAAAATTACCAAACTGAGTGAAGCGGATAATCTAATTTTACGATAACCTGTCCTTAATTCCCAAAATACTGTGTATGTGAGTATCTAAAATATGTTTTTGAAAATCGGAGATTGATGTAGAATAAATGGAATGTGACTGTCAATGGAATCCAGGATGCGCATTTCATTTTATTTAACACTCGTCAACCGGATGTACCTGTATCCCAGAGCTGATATGTTTACTCCGAGACTCAAACCCAGTACCGTTCGCTTCAAACACCATCAGGTTATTTATTTACCAATAAACACAAACAGTAAAACGGACAAATTCATGTGACTTAATAAATCTATTCATTTATAAATTTATGAAGATCATAATTTTTTATTATGTAAAGAAATAGGAAAATAATATAGAATGACATTTTTGTTTGGTCAATGAATAGGAAACTAGTTATTAAGTTCATTCAACTAGACATTGACCAAATAACGTGTTCCTAACATGTATTGTTATCAGGAATGTTTCGATTAAATACATCTATTCACATCACCTGTGTTCATTTATTTGATCATTCAATCAGTCAGTCAATATTTAACTTGATTGATTGACCTAATTTCTCATTAAAAATAAAAAACAACAACAAATATGATATAATAATTGTAAATTGTTTTATTTTACCAAATTTTTTTTGTAGACATTATAGATTCTCAGTTGAAGACTAAAGTGTGTTTGTTTTATGTATCACAATGTTAGTTTTGTGGAGCAGTGTGATTGATCGAATATTATGGTTTAGCCTGGGACAACCGAGTAAACAATGCTGTCGTTAGAAAACGAGTACTAGGTAGGGATGGCAGATCAATTCATGAAGTAGTGAAACTCCATCAATTGAAGTGGTTTGGATATGTATTACGTCTACCCAACCACCGACTGCCTCGACGAGCTATGTTTTGTGGTGTAGGAGTAGGTTGGACAAAAGCTAGGAGCGGCCAGACCAAAACATGCCAAAAATCCATGAAATCACTGACAAGTGGACTGAGTCATGTTGGTACATGTAGACTACCTGTTTGGAGTGCGCGGGACGCAAGTCACCGATGGTTAGAGACCTTGAGCGACATAGCTCAAAATCGCTTGCAATGGCGCAAGTGCTTCCATTCTTTGTGTTCTCTCAAATTCTAACCTCCTGAATTCCTCATCATCTCTATCTTTCTCTTTCTAAATTTATCTCACTGAATTGCACTTGTCGAATCATATCTTCGAACCCTAATCTTTTCCATTACTGCTAATACTTCGACTATCGTTACCATTATGGAGTTTGAACTGACAGTTGGCAACCTGAACTGATGTACGTATGTACGAAGTTCAACGTTGTAACTGACTAACTGACCGACTGACTTAGCCTAATTTGTTGTGATTGGTTAATGAGATGAAAGCTGATTTTTTAA